TTTTAATGTCTTTGAATTACTTTCGTAAAATTTTAGTTACTTTTACTTACGATTTAGGTTACTAATTATATTTTTTATTAATTACTTGAATTTAGTATTTTTCCGTAAATTTAAAAAACACTTTAATTTTTAGGGAGCCTCTACAACAGCTAGCGTCGTAGGCATCAGAATTAGTGACAACAAACCTGCGAGAAAAACTCCCGCAGTAGCAATAACCAGTGGTGCACTAAATTCTGCCACTGTCACCCTAACATTAACGTCACAACGCGGTCTCGGTATCAACAGTCAAATCACTGTCTATGGAACGCCATAATTTTTACTTTTCTGCCGAATACATCACATATCTTTTGTTAATTCAAACTTTAAAGGAGAGTTTTAAAATATCTCCTTGTATTATATTCAGTTCAAAATAAACCATTAAATTTTTTAATAAAAACAGTTCTGTCTTAATTTTTTAATAGGCGCAAATATAACATCCGTTCGGGAGTTCAAACTTTAAAAAATATAGAATTAATTAACATAATTTTAACTCTCATTATTTAACATGTAATTGTAGTTAAATTTTTTTAATTATAATTTTAATGCTAATTAATTAATTACAACTACAACAATATTTTTTTAATTTTAATATTTTCTAATTTTTTTTTTTAATTTTTTTTAGTCATATTTTTATTTGATTTGTTATATTTTATTTGAATTGAATTTTTTTACATAAATGTAAATTTTTATTTTTATTTAATTTTTAGGGTGCCTCTACAACAGCTAGGGTCGTGGGCATCAGAATCAGCGACAGAAAGCGTGCGAGAAAAACTCCTACAATTACAATAACAGCCGGTGCACTAAATTCAGCCACTATCACTCTTACATTAACGTCACAACGCAGCTTTGGTATCAACAGCAATATTACTGTCTATGGAACGCCATAATGCTTTTTTTTACCGAATACCTAATTAGCTTTTAAGTGAAAAAAAAAAAATTGTGCAATATCTCTTTGTATTTTATTCACCTCAAAATAAACCATTAAAATTTTTAAACATAAAAATTACAATTTCGTTTTTAAAATTGGGGTATATGTGTACCTGAAATAGTAAACATTGCTCCTGAAATCTGAATATTATTTATGTTTAATGCACATTCCTGTTTATAACCTGAGGGCATCCAATTTTTTTTTGTTCTCCCATGTAATTGCTTTGTAATTGTAAGTCTGTCAATCCTTTCAGAAGGCAACAACATATGGGTCCTTAGAAGAGTATATAAATATACTACTTACATACATGTAATCATAACATACTACACTCTGTGTAGACAGACATGATAGCTGGAAAATGCACAAAACTTTGGTCCTACATACATATATTGTTAATAAATCGTCAACAGCACGTACGACTGCAACCTCGAACGCAGCCACACGCAGGCTGCAAGGCACTAGATATTGTAGTTGCAAGTGGTGTGGCACAATGTTGCGGTTTCGGCCAACAAACCTTTGTTGTGAATTTGCAAATATTTTTGCACTGCCAAGAAAGCACACATACATACGTGCGCAAGGCTTGCATTGCAGCAACATGTATACAGAGTATCAAATGGTTGGGCAGATAGCTGAACATATGCTACCGTTATTTGTAAATTTTCAATTTGCAACTAGATTTTGTGGTTTCGGAATACGAAATATTTGCAGAATCCCTGATAAGATGCATCCAAATGATGAGAACTAGAAAATCATTAAATAATCATAAATATCTATGGTGATGTTTTTGCCAGCGAACGAAGATAGAAGTGTTTAAACTTTATATTTTCGATATAAATTGTAAACATTTGTACGTTTGTATATCCACACTTGAAAAGGTGTGCTGTATATATGAAAAATGTATATCTTATTTTTCCATATATCAATGATTAGAAATGACGTGAAACAATGTGGCCTCAGAGTCAAACCTTTTTCTAGGCAATATTAGGATTAAAGCTCTCACTTGACATGCGAATCTTTTAGAGTTTATTATGTGCTTGACGAATTATAATGCCGTGAAGCTGCTTCACAATTATCAATATTAATCAAATTAAAAAGAAATGTGGAAGTTTATTACCAAAATAATGTTTCGATTCGCGTACTTCGTCCAATATTCAGTCAAGATAATCACCCAGCAGAATGCGTAATTCGACAAACTATGGATGCATTAGCAACATGCTTACTCTAGTAGAAAATACAAATAATCAAAGACGTCGTTCAGTACCCACTCAAGACGCTATTACGCTTCGGGTGGGTACCGATGAATACCCGAATGGTCCATTCGCCATCGAGCGAAACAAATGGAGCTGTGCAGATCCACTTTATGGAAGATTTTGCTGTAGGATCATGATCTGCGGGCTACAATATTTAGCTCGTGTGAGAGATGAAACTGACCGACCATCAAGGCAGTTGTACTTTCGGTGGATGAGCTTAAAAGAAGATGGCTACCGAAACCAATTTTCACTCATTAAACTCATTTTGGTTTAATGGGAATGTTCATAAACAAAATTATCGCATTAGGAAATATGATAATCCATAAGCCATTGTTGAGACGCAGTTATATCATTAAGATGTCACTATTTGGTGTGCACTATGTGCATAGGGTATAATTTGTTCATATTTCTTAAAAAATGATGTCGGTGCTAAAGTTGCAGTCAATCGTGACCTTTATAATTAATATAATGACAGAAGGATGTTTATCTGATTCCAATAAAACGACGTTACATTACATAAAGCCAACAAAAGATTCAATTTATTGAAGGGGCTTGGACCAGCAAGAACGTGTGGCTTAATACTGCCGGACTCCTTTAAATGGGATTATGTGAAGTGGACTTTTATCGCAGATAGGCTCGAGATGATTAACCCCTTGGCAAGTAGTATTCGGAGCATTTACGGTTTCAATTTCTGCTTGAAAACCACATGTCTAAACAAACACCCATTAGAAATAATTTTTGATGTGCAACTTTAATAGCATCGAAAAATATTCCTGACATAGTGAAATAGTTTTGAGGAATGTTGCCGATTTGACCAACCTTGACTGGACAATAGTCCGGGTCATTCTGGTTACGGCGAACGAACATGATTACGACATCGACCTTGAACTCTACTTAAAATAAATGATTCTAGCATAATAAATATCGAATAATATAATACTTTAAAGTGGGATTTGTTTTTGTTATCGATACTTTTTGAAAACTGCTTCCGTATTTGACACAATATTACTGTGGATTATAAAAGTATTAAACGCTTTATCTAAGTAAATAAATTTTAACGATAAACAAGAACTTCAAGAACTCGCCTATCTTTATTACCAACAGAACTACTTAAGTACAATATCCGTTATTTAATGTACTATAAAGAGAAAACAAAGTGAGTCATTTGTCTCATATAACTAAACTCTTAACAATACATAACTTTAGGCGCAAATGCCAGCATGAAGACCAAGAAAGTTTTAAACAGGGTGTTGCTTCAGATAAAAAAAAAAAAAAATAATAATAATGATGAGAAAATCACTTCATAATTTCATGCAAGAATCCGCTATCAACACAGGTAATAAACCTATGTACATACTGTATATGTGAGCATTTATATACAGAAGAGCGCCGGTTGATAAGATAACTTGCGCCGCTGCAATCATTACAATGACAAATGAATCACTAAAGCAAATTGATTTTCTGCCAACGAGACATGATACTTGTAAACAGTTTGATAACGAAAAACTACAAAATTTAATTTGATAAATTTGTATTAATAAAGCAACAACAAATTAAAGGGAAACAAATGGGCAAATGATTAACGTAAGATTTCAAGGAAACGATAAGGTAAGGTAAACAACGTTATTATCACACACTAGATCAAACCTTAAGAGCGCTTCAAGTGGCTAAACAAATAAGCGTGTGATATAAAGTTAATATGTATATAAGAGCGACAGTTATTGGTCGATAACGCAACAGTAAGTTTACAGCAGTCGAACTATACGCAAGTGTCACACAAATAATTAAAAATTAATAATTTTTTAAAAATAATAAATAAATAATAAGCATGAAAGCACGCACAACAATCGCATTCATCACCTTCGGTGTCTTGGCAGCGCTGGTCGCCACCAGCATTGCCACCAACAGCACTTGGGGTCAACGTGGACGCTACGATCGCCTGCTCTACCGCACACAGGTCGTCAAGAAGTCCAACTTGTGGCGTGTGATATCTGTGGACGTGGAATATCCCGGAAAGGTAAAACTAATGAAATAGCTTCTCCCTCTTTAACAGCAAGAGAAATAGTTTTATTGAATTTGTTTTTTAATATTGCATAACTTTTGTGTTGTAGAACGCTTACAGTCCCTACTACATCACCCAAGTAGTGGCTGTCGATCATAAACGCAAGGATGGTGGCTATGCGCAGCTACGCAAAGGTGGTCCCGGCTACCGCAATGTAACCCTCCATATCAAATCCAACCGCAACCATGGCCTGAACTACACTGTTGAGATCTTCGGCAATTAAGCGAACATTGTTTTAAGTGATGGACAAAAAAAATGTGTTAAATAGAACGCGAACTTATGTATAAATATAAAAATAACACTGGTTAAAAAAACTGAAAAGCTAAAAGTATAATACAATTCTGTGATTAATTTGATGTATACATATACATACTCACCTCACTGTTTATGACCGTGTGTACGCATTGGTTTGTTTTTGTAAATATATGAAAAACACACTAAATAAAACGGATTTTAATTTCCACTATAAAGAAAAGATAAAAAGCTTCTTGTTTGCTCGTCTGAACGAACAAGAAATGTTTACCATGAACAGGTTACAAAAAGTTTGCCGTGAAATGTATAACAGCCATAAGAAAACATCTGAGTCGTTTTAGTCATGTTCATCTGTCTGTATATATGAGAACTATTTCTTCAGATTTTGATAACCCGATTTGAAATTGTGCTCAAGTCTCTACTCTCCAAGAAGCTGGTCATTTGCCGAAATCGCCGATATCGGTTCACTATAGCTTATAGCTGTCATACAAATTGACAAATCAAAAACATGTTCTTCGATGGGAAACTTTTTTACTTGACGAGCTATCTTCTCGGAATTTGGCAAGGATTAAGTTTTATAACAACGGTACAATCTCCGAAGTAATTGTAAGATCGGACATGCTTGCATAGTTGCTACAGCGTATAACTACCATACAAACCGACCGATCAAAGTCAAGTTCTTAGATGGAATATTTTGCATTTGTGAAAATTATGGCTTTGGCGCAACCAAAGTTAAAGTTTGTTCTTGTTTTTAATTCAACATTGCTCTTTTTATCGCTCGTCTCAGACTATTATGGTTCAGCGAAGTTTGTTATAATATAAATGTATTTTTTAAACGAAAAATTAGTTTTCTAATGGCCTTAAGTACATTAGTAATAAATTATTGCTATACTCATCAAAACTCTCTATAGGCTTTACTGACACTATAGACCACAGAAGGCTGGTTACAGATCATTGACATAAGCTCTCTCAGAAACTTTTCAACTGTTGCTTTTCACTTATCAGCTTCTTTAGTCAGCTTTTTCGAATATTATGACACTATAGACCACATAATGCTAGTTATAGATAAGTAATAATTGTTTTCTAGTTCTCTACTATCTCCTAATACTCGTATTATTAGAAAATACAATATATTTTTAGTTTTTATTGAACCAATAAGCTTTCTAAATGCTCCTTCCGTCGCATATTCAATTTTATTAAAAAAGAATTTCAAATTTGTTTTGTCTAGAGTAGAGAAATTTGTTGCAATCCTTAGAAAGCTTAAAAGTATACGAAATTTAAATTCCAAGCTTTCGTACTTTAAAGCTTGATATAATTTGAATTAATTACTGTTATATAAAAAGAAGATATCATAAATAAAATAGATTAGTGGTGGTGATCAGCTGCTCCAATAAGCTCCAATTATCACTTCCAGGTTGCTTTCAACAGTCATACCAACTTTATAAAAGATTCGCCTCTGTTTACGCATGTTTGATTCAAAGTGAAGTTTTTGTAAGGAAAGCTTCACAGATTCTTTTTAACTCGATTGTTTCTTGTGTTTTGCTCGATTGTTTTAGTTTCTCTTAATATTTTACATGCATTCGTGAAATATTCAAATAAAGCTCGCTCAATGGAACTTCGCATACATGCGGCAAATATGTAAACCAAGCACTCGCTATATAATGAAATCTCTACAGAATCAAGCTTTCACTAAATAATGAAAGCTCTATAAAATTTGTTCAGAAATATATTTTTTGTGGGACATGCAAGCATTGAACTCGCATTTTTATTCGGCCAACAAGTATAAACTCGGAAACATTTTTAAAATAATAAGAGAAATGCTTGCTTTCACTATAACAACAATACATTAATCTCGCAATAAATTTAGAATTTTATAGAAGTTCATACAACGAATAAATCTCTTCAAAGGCATACTTCTATTAAACATATTCTTATTAAATGTATTCTTATTTAATATTTATTTCTTTTATTTTCATTATATACACACATACATACATACGTGTTTAATTTCTTATCTAAAAAGTTTAATATTAAAAGACATAAGTCATTAATTTCTTGTGCGCTTTTGGTTTGTTTTTTTTTTTCATTTCAGTTGTTTGTGTAATTTGCTCAGTTCTACAAAGTAATAAGTACTCTAACTAACGTTCACAAACAAACATATTAATAAAACAAAAAATTACTACTAAATAAAGGAAGTATGTTGGTGAATTATGTTTGTATGTATTCGGGTGTATTACTATTGCTTATTGACCGTAAATTTCCACGCGAAATATTAGTCCGTAATTGTATTGTGACTGCAACTTGATGGTGACATTATTGAAGCCGGGTCCACCCGAATAGATGGTGGCGTGGCCACCAGTGCCATTTGTCACTTGATCGAAGGCGCGTATGCCGGTGATAATGCGTCCATTGCCAATGCCCTGTTAGTCGAAATTTTTTGGAATTGTAATAAAATATTTATTATTAGTATTTAAAAAAAAAATTATTTTGAGCAAAGCGAAGTTTGTGGTAAATTGATTTATGGTCGTTGATCAACGGCAATCGCTTTAGAAATTTCTGAAGTACAGTGTATGCCAAACTTTTTTTCAGTATTTCTATATTTTATAGCTTTTTCGAAACATTATTTACCGGTGTTAATGGTCTATTGCCTTGTAATAGTGGTAAGCTTCTTGACTTAAGTCTGGTCTTCGCATACATGTATCTGACAAGGTTTTAAAATTATTTCTTAATATCTCTGAACTCATTCAGATTATTGCTTGGAAGGTATTGACGAAGATAGTAGAGCATATGATGAGTTTTTATGCACCCCTAAGAACTTTAATTTCAAGAATGTTTCTGAAAAGACTTTAGTTGAATATAATAAATTATTACAACAACAAATATGATTGACTAGATCATCGTTGGAGTCTTGTTATAAACCTACTCATAATCTCTAAACTTAAAGTTGGCCTCTGAAACTTTCGAAAATTCCAGCCGACAAAAACAGAAAACATGAACAGAAAAATGATGAGAAAATCCGAAGACACTGACAGCAAAGAAAAACTTAGAAAGTATGTTAGAATAGTTAAAAAAAAAAAGGTTCTAGGTAACACATGGGAAAATATGTTGCTAATGACAAATGTTGGATCCAGTATGAATTGAGTAATATCATTAAAAAATAATATTTAAACAGCTAAGATGACTAGATTTCGACTATTTTGACATTAGAACTATAAGGCATAACACCAGGAACTATACTGAAAAATAATTTTTGGAAATCTCATCCAATATAAGACTCTTTAGAATCAACGAAGTGTAAATAAATTGTAATTCGTCACTGTAATCTCAGGGTCAATAACCGCAGCATCTCAACTAGGCCCCTCTACACCTGAGTTGCCTTCTACGCTCTCTCAAGTTTCTCTCATTGAACATAGAGAAAGTGGAAGAGATCGCTAATAAGACAGTCATAGAATCAAATGCCAATTAGATGCGCTAACAACGTTTTCTTTTTTAACATCGGCTGGTGTGCAAACGAAATAAATCCACGCTTATATTTTATTGTTTTCAATGCGTTCGAATCTTCAATTTTAATTTGCTGGTAATTTTACGGTTTGTCCTCGCATACAATTCTTATCACTAGCTGAAGCAACTATTTATATTTTTGGCAAAAAATCTGTATATATGAAAAAATTCGCAAAACGTGCTGACCTTGCGGTCAAGGCGGACTTAGTAGCACCAGCATAGTTTCTGATATATATTTTTTAATAAGAGCAGCAGCCAAATATTTTTCACTTTTTATAATATATATATTTTTTTATTTCGAATAAAATTAGCATTTTGCTCAACATTTTGATAGCTGGCTTTCGCTTAGCTCGATTAAAATTTGCACTTCCAATAGCATTAAATGTAAAATATGTATAAATTTATATTGAATTTATGAATCGCGTGTGCAAAATCAGCAAACAGTCGCTCTCCAAGCTATAGAATTGCCACCACTGCGTAGCTTATCAGGGCAACCGACTTTTGCGAAACGTTTCCGGTGCGCAATTTCACAAAAAATATGCGAAGAAGAAGCATACTTATACAGCATATAAGTCTCCATATAATTATGTTTTGAAGAAAATGAAAGCGTTAATGTTGGAGAGTAAATCAGAAGATGTTGAAAAAAGCATTTATATTTTTTGAAAAAAAAAAAAAATTGGACCTTGGAACAGCCACTCTTATATACATATTGATCGCAGATTTTCGTGCAAAATCTCGCTAAGCGCACTTGCTTTAATTTTCGTTTGTGTTTTGTCGCTCTGCCAACACCAACAGAGTGCGATAAGCGGTGCTTAACTTTGACACACAGGGCGATATAATTATTGTGTCACCAATTTTAGAATAAATATCGTTCGAAAAACAATACAACACTTTTTGTAATGAATATTTCGCAAGTCGGTGCAACCCGATTTCGTTTGGAGATTAGGCAAGCGCCGCTGATAAAGATAAGCCAAAAAATCCCCTACTGCAAGTTCCGTTTGTTGTGAAACTTCCAAAAGTATACTAAATGTCGCATCGTCTAAAATTATCGATATAACATCCACACAGATTTCACAAATTCCCCACCACAACAACCACCACTAACTTCACTTTGCTCTCGAAAACTTAACGTGACTGGCACGTGATAGCCGCAGCTTGCTTACATTTTTGGGAAACTTAATTTCACGATTCACGTATTTGCCAGGCGATGACGCATTGAAAACATTCTCCACGTGCAACAACTGCGCAGAATTCGAGATGTTGCCCCATGTACTCGAGATGGCGTACGTGGTCGTTATAACATAGGCCGCAATCGTTAAGGCCGTCGATAGTTTCAATAGATTAATCTGTTGCTTCATGGTTGAGCGTGCGTGTTGGCTTTTAGAAATCAAAATTCAAATATGAAAATCAATCCAATTGTTGTGTGATTACAGTTTCTATTTTCGTTTATTTGTTGGTTTTATTTTTGTGTAACAAAATTTCTTCGTCTTGTCACAAGCTATTTTTACAACAATCGCTGTAGATCGGGTTTATTGGTCTCGTGTTGCTCCTCGCTTATCAGTAGCTTAATACGCACAAAAACGTTTTATATTCATTACAACAATATTTAATGTTGTTGTTGTTATTTTCAATATTTAGAATTTAGCAAAATAGTCTTAAAATTTTATTATATTTATTGTTGTTTTTATATATAAATTTCAGTTTAATTTTAGTATTTGAATTTTGTGTTGAATTTGTGGAAGCGCGGTCTGCTAATTACGTTCTGTCGCTGAGCACAACGTGTTTCGAACTGAATTCGATTGTGAATTCTGTACAATTTTGACATGTTCAAGCGAATTCCGTTCGTTTTTCAGAATCGCTAGTTCCAGTTTCAACATTTCCGCTAAGCCGGACATTTCATTTGCTAGTGGTAAATATACACTGTGAGAAACTTTGTTTGAAAATTCTAAATTTTCTGGGTTTTAAAGAAGGTTTACAAAAATGTTTTCTAGAGAGCGAATATTATTTACTGGATAGTTTCAAAACTGAAATGTTCAAAATTATAGAATAAAAAACTGAAGCTTACCAAAGCTCAAAGCTTACGATGCCTTGAAAGTCGCGTAAAATGTATCTTAAGACTCTCCAGAAAACATAATTTGAACTTTTGGGATTTTCAATTGGAAAATATAGAAGTTATGGAAAGAAGAGAAAAAAGTGTTCCCCCGCGCGTCTGAAATTCCGCGAAATTCTGAAGTTTGAATAGATTTATTTAAATGATGTTTTGGAAAGTTAGTAAAAAAAGGCTTCGTGGCGCTTTAACGCGACAGTACTAATTTATCCCACTCTCTCAATCATTATGTGAATACAAAAAACAATTGCTTCGAAAAAAATTATTTACTTTCTATGTATTATATATATTCTTTCACCAGCATCCGTTGAGTTATGTCAAAATTTTTACATTTTCCCCTTGAAGAACATACGAAACGTAGAAATTGATAATGAATTTTTTGCCACACAAGTCTTATCAGCAATACGCGAGAATTGTGAATGAAACAAGAGATTAAACGTGAGCTCAGTGAAAACAATAAACTGAAATAGGCAGAAACAGAGAAATTTAGATGCTGGGGCATCATTACAAGAATAAAATTTCAAGTTAAAATAAAATGAGAAAAATGTGTTTATGATAACGGCGAAATATGTTTTTTTATGCGTATGGTATACGTAGTATACTATACGGTCTAGCCTAGCTTTCTGCGTATGATTAATAACTACCTCGTTATATGATGGGATGAAAGCTAGTGTCAGCTGTATTCTTATCTGACATCGATGCTTTAAAAGCTTTCGTACGACAAAAAATGGGTTCAAAGCTTTGTGAATGACTTTTTCAGAGCGCTCATACTAGAAAACATTTTTTTTTTTAATGTCTAAAATTAGGTGCTTTCAATATAATATTTAAGAACTATTCTAGCAAACTTTGGAATAACAGCAATTTGCACAAAGCTTTGTTTCATATTAAAAACACTTCGAGTTGTTTGTCAGAAATTGAGATGGATATGTGGGGAGTGGGTTAGAGGATAGGTTACCAAATACTTTAGCCCATTTCAACAGCTAACGAAGCTTTGTGAAGATCATATTATATTGGAAATTTACTTCCAGTTAACAATTATATACCTTTGCTGGTAATGTCTAAAACTTTACGCTCCATTGTGTGTTCGTTTCAACCTCATTCTGCACAGTTGTGGCCGTCGCCATCATAAACATATTTGCAGCTATAAATAGGCATTAGTCATACGTTTGCTAATTTATAAAAATCACTTACTTAATAACTAATTGAAATTGATTTGCTACTTTGCTTATCACGCAACCAACTGAGACATAGCCTTATATATACGTGACATAGGAAGTAGATAATAGCGAGCGGATAATATAGAACAGCCGAGTCCAATGAACAGATAAGTGTGTGAACTACATGAAGCTCAATTAATTTCCGATAATAATAATTATAGCAACTTAGCAGCGCAGTCCTAACTCCTGTACTGTCTTCACGACGCTATCTATAAGTAAACGTACATATGTATATATAATTATTCCACTTATTTTTATCAAGAGCTAAACCAGGCAGTATTTCACTACTTATTAGTAGCTAACTTAAAGCGATAGCAATAGAACACACACACATATTATTATCTACAAAAAAATTTCTTAGAAATGATAAGCGCATCTAACATAGGTGTGAAGGGGTGTCAAAATTTGAAAGCAAAACAACTCACTTTCACATATTCACACCTGATGGCGTGCACAAACGAAAGCTGGTGAAGAAACAATACTAAAAACTCAAAAGCTCTTATCTTTATTATGAACGATAAAGGCTGCACATGTGTGTGTCTCCAACATATATGGCCAATCAATTGGCTTATAAAAGGCCAACTTATTACTGTTGCACAATCACAGTGTTAAGTCAACGCTTGATGCGCCTGCAATAGAAACAAATAATAAACTCAATTTAATAAGGAAATTAACCAAGCACCAACATGAAGCCGTCAATCACCAGCGTTCTCTTCTTGCTTGTCGCTTTAGCCGGTGTGGCGATTGCGGCCAATAGCTCGTGGGGTGCACGTAATAGCACGGATATATTATTGTTGCGTGAGAGTGTTGTGCGTTCACCGCTTAAAAACGGCTACCAGAGTGTCAACGTGGTTTTCCCGAAATCGGTGAGTGCGAAAGGTACTAAAATACTGCCGTAAACACTGCTAATAATTGAACGTTTTCTCTTCCACATTTTCTTTACCAACGGCTACAGGGCCAAACCAACACCCGTGCCATTTCGGCTATTCTCGTTATCGATCGTTTTACCAACAGCTCCGGCGCTTATAGCAGCCTTTGGTCTGGCGGTGTCGGCTATCGTTTTGTTTCCCTCAATTTGAAGAGTCAATATAATCGTGGTATTAACTCAACTGTGGAAATTTATAGCAAACGCTAAACGCAAAACGTGCTTCTTTGCGCTAGAAAATGCAGCTTACGTACATATATACAAACAAACATACATATTTACGGACATAATAGTGTGTGTGGCAAAAGCGAACTAGTTTTGTAATATGGTACATGCAACATCTCTTGCCTACAAGCAAGTTATGTGTATGTGGCAAGGTTTTATGTGTATTTTTATATGGCAATAAACAACAACTCGGATTAGCGTAACTTGCAACTATTTTGAATTAACTTGGTTCTTTTCTGCGGCATCCGCACTAATTGGATATAATAGCTTTTTAATTCGAATATGTGATTTGTGTCTGTAAATGCTTATGAGTGTATGCATATACATAGATATGTGCAACATGCTGTTGTGAAAGCATTTTAATTATCTGCGTTGTAGTTATTGTTGAGTTCTTTTGGTATGTTAAGGAGCAGTTATGAGCTCTGCCATAATTACAATGTTTCTAAGAAAATTGTTGGAACGTGAAAAAATGGATGCAAATTGAAGTAGGAACACCTTTTGTAAATCAATGCGAGGCCTTTTCTTTGGACCTGTGAAATAAGTGAACAAGCAATTTTTTTACAAAAACAACATGTATTAAACATTTAAAAGGAAAGATAAAATAACAAAAATTAAATAATAATTGAAGAGCAACCTGAGATCGGTAAGTCGAGTGGGAGAGACGTGGTTGAATTTGTTGAAGATTAAAAATGACTTAAAAAATTAAAATTGTAATTAAATTCCGTGGGTAAATCATATTTCAACAAAAATATATTTTCCTAAGTGGGTTGGGCTATCCTTAATTACTGCGTTTGTTCAAATGATTTTGGTGGATATTTTGAGTATAAAACTCGACTCTTTTCGATTAAGTTGAATTTGTTTCAAAAACCCAAATGTAAGAAAGTTTCTTTTCACATGCTTGGTCATGCTAATTGGAGAGCATTATACCTACCTCTGAGACAGGATTTTATGAGTTTGTCATTCAAACAAGTCAATAATCTTCGGAATGGAGGTGAAAAAATAAGCCCCTATTTGGCCATATAGAAGCGTTTGCGTGAGAACATTCGTCCAAAACATCGGGAATGTGGAAGAACATTTTATAAATTTGACACGATGCACTATCCCATCGAGCCACGATTATGGCCGTATTTAAAGCCAAAACTGCAGTGAATACCATCGAGTAACCACCGCGTTCACCGGATTTGGATTCGTGTGATTTTTTTTTTGTTCCCCAGACTGAAATGGCCGCTCAGTGGCATCCCTTTTCAGTCAATCGAAGAGATAAAACCAAACTCGCTGAAGAAGCTGAAGGCTATTACAAAATGTGCTTATGATACGAGGTTCGAAGACTGGTAAAGTCATTGGGATAAGTGTATTAAACATGTTGATGATTACTCTGAAGGCGACAATATTAAATATTTTGGATTTTATTTACCGGGTACTTTGTTGAACTTGCACGGTTTAGAAAATAAAAAAAAAAGTTATAAATTGTATTAAAATTAAGTCCCTCAGCATCACGAGAGACGAGTGTGCTTGAAAGAGAGTATTAGTCAGACTACCCTTCGCCTTCCATCAGACTCTCAGCTTTCCTTTTCAAACAATAACCAAATAATGGATAAGCATTATCTTAAGGAGATGATTTTGCAGATTAGTTCTAACTTTGGTATTTAGATTATATCAGCATATGCTATTGTGATGGCAGCATTGGCTATTGTGATGTCAGTTTAGGCTGATATAATCTAAATAGCACGTAGAAAAAGTAAAAATGCAGATAATCTGGCAAAGGCTTTTTCAAAAACAAATAAAATAAAAAAAATAAGTGATTAAATATAAGAATTCCAATATTTTGGCTTTTAAGAAAATTGTTTTTGAACAGCTAGGTTACTAAGCAATGTGGCTTTAGAAATTTCCAGAATTTTTTAGGTATTGACTTTAATTGAATTGAACTCTCTTCCGTTATTTCCAACCAATCTCCACAGCACATGGTGGTCTTGCGAGAAATTTCAATAAAAATTACTGTCATTTTAGCTCATTCAAATATTGTTTTTAAATTCAGCAATATACACCTAAACAACTTCTGCACTTTTCATCGAACCATAAAAACGCAGGAGTTAATAGAAAAGTTATCGTTTTATGAACTCAGCATTTAATGAAAAATATTACTAGTCATTGATGATCGCTTGATTGCGTTTTTACGACCGAAATAATAAAATGTTAGCAATGACGATCACGCCGGCGCAATGAGTGCTGTGCTGAGAGCAATAACGCAGCGGCAGAATGAAAAATCAAAAGGCGAAAAGGTAAAATGGCAATGAAAGACTACAAGAAAAGCCTTTTACCGAGAGAATGGGTGAGGAGCATTTTCGTTTGCTTTTATTAGCCTTTTAACAACAAACTATACACATATGAGTGAAAATATGTATATAAAACCATAAAGTGGAAAGTTTTCAGCTAAAGACTCCTTTTATGACATTTTAGTTTTTGTTATCACAAGTTCGCTTAAGTTTTATAGCTTCAATTAAAATGCAGTCAAAACAGATGCAAAATAAACGATGGCGCCTGGCGACAATTTGGGGTGTACACATACATACAGATAAATTTGGTATGTATGTGTGTGCATAGCTGATTAATAGAGCATAATGATGAAAAACTAAAAGGCGAATAACAAGACATAAACAACTGTCAAACATGCTAAATGAATTAATTTTAAAACTGTTAAACGTTTTTGTTGTTACTTGTGGCAAGGCATGTTTACAAAACACAACAACAAGTAAAATATATATGCACATACATAAACAAACATATCTACAAGCGTGACAAGCAAAGTGCGCCTATCAAAATGACCTGAAACCCTCGAAAAATAAATCTTCAGCAACTGACAAAAATTAATTGTCACCAACACACGCACACACATCCACACAAAGCGTTGCTATAGCGCCTATAAATATGCATGTACTTACACAAGTAAACGCACAACAACAAATGTGACAACAAATGCATGAGTGCTAGGAAAAAATTGTGGACATAAATGCTACAAGCAAATGCAGTTACAAAAACAACAACAATAATATGAAAACTTGGTTTTTTTCCAACGCGACAAAAGTGCAACATCGCTGAGTTTACACCAATCTTTATGTTCTCATATCTGTTTACACGCCTATGCACTCGGCATAACACTAAATATGTAGTTGTGTGTGTATGCCTGCAGACCAACACCTCAAACCCCAGCAATTCATCGCGTATTCATTCATTTCCACAACTGCAGTGGAACTTGCAACCACGACAGCCACGTGCAACGCGTGTAACATTTGTTGTTCTCGCTGTTATTATTATTATTTTTTTTTTGTTGATTTCACTGTGGTTGCAACGCATCATATAAATGGCCCACTGTTGTGGCTGCCAGTTGCGTAGCGTATCTGCAACGTAAAAATGCATAAATTTGCTGCGTGCCGCAGTTGCGAGCAATAAGTGCCTGCAGCTTTGAAGGGCTGACAGACTCACAGTCAGACTGAGTAAGCACCCATTCAGAATCGTGTGCACGCTAATAGCTGTTAACACAGTAAAATATCGAATAGCGCAACAGCAAGTGTGAACAACAAAAAAAACAGTCAAATATTTGAGTCAGATAGAAACCTATATATCTTTATGGAGTATTTCTTATTTTTTTTATGCAACATGATCTTATTTTGAGTTGTTATGCTATCATTGGATAATTTTGTTAATCGATTTTGAGAACCACAAACAAACAATCCATATGATCCAAATCAAATAATGTGGCACGAAAACTCGAAGACCAGCAATAGCAGGACCGCGCACTAAGCTTTCTGTGCCTATGGGTAACTTTTCGACACCTTCTCAGGCACAAGTCTTTGCGTTATGAAAACTGGTGTAATGCTATACTCAGCGATAGCTATCTCGTCCCAAGAGGTTAAATCACTAAGGGTCAGGAGTACTGAGGAGGGCTTGACAGCTTATCGAACGAGTCCGCCTTAATTTGGAAAGCCTGTAATATAATGACTAATGAACTTTTTCGCTCTGCAGAAACGAAAAGTTCTGGTACCAGTAGTTTCTAAACAATCTGTGAGTGCAGATTTGGGGCGGATTCATATATCCTAACCGAGTCCACCTGGTACTCAATCGGTCTGAGTAGCCGGTTATAAAATGATTAATGAATTTTTTCGCTCTTCAGCTAGCAGTTTCTAGGCAATATGTAGATACTGAAATGAAACCTTGGGATTCGCATATCCTAGAAGAGATTAGCATTATCCTTGAATTTATAAGTACACTGGGTCTATGAGTGTTTTGTTGAACGATGGAAAGGCCCAATAGAAAAGGGAATGCAGTACATAACTCATTAACTGTGCTTCCTTATATTATATATACGTATAAAGCTACCATAATATTTTAGTATTGCCCAGCAATTTGTATAGTGTAACTTCTTCGAGATCATTGCAAATAATGCTACTAAACACAAAATACTCATAATACTGGTATGATTATATACTTCATGCTTTTTTTTCAACTAGTTTCCCACATACACTTTTCATTAAAATCATGTACAACTGTGTAGCATTAATTTAGTATTTGTATATACTATATATGTATGTACATATATTGTATGGCATAACGGTTAAACAAAAGTGGTTCACGGTTAACGCAATACTCCAGTATGAACTACAATATTTCAATTGTAGAACAATGCTAAAGCATAACTCATGCCTATGTTGCAATGGTTGCTTTAATTAAAGTGACCATTCAGTCTACAAACCACATATGAATAAACTTCGAGTTTCTGGTTCTGTTGCACTTTTTCCGTTTTGCAATATATATATACAAGTATATATTTGTGGTGTATAATTATTAATTTTATTTTTTTGCTTCGTAGATTCTTATGTTTTTAAGATATCTCTCTGAAATTTCCCAAGAAACTGTTCATTTCTCGAAGCCACCGATATCAGACTACTACGGATTAAAGAAGGTAATTTATGAATATCTTTACTTTTGACCCCGTTCTCTGAGAAGTAAACATTACATTACATTATAGGGAGCTAATCCTAAATAAAATAAAATAAAGGTAGTTCACACAGAAAACATGTCGAACAGAAACCTCAACTGTACGCCTTCCACTCAATAAATCTTCACAATAGAGATCTTCCTTTGAACCTGCTGGTTCCAACGGCTATATATCTTCTGCTAAACAATTTCGTCAGCCCCAACTACTTCCAGACTGGGTTAAAAAAA